GTCCTTGGGCAATCGTGCTACGTGTCTCGGAACGAGTTGACCGAGGAACGTATCAGTTGGCTTCAGAGCTGGTTGAGGTATCAAGTCGTTATATCCTCTTACTTGTTCTTGTCTAGTTCGTTTTAGGGTTCCTATTTTTCCGCTGTCTTGTTTGTTTGTTGCATCGCTAGTTGTTTCTTCGTTGTTCACAAATTTGTCTGAAGTTGTTTTGCCATTGGCGTCGTCAATTTCTGTCCGTTTTGTGTTCAATCATTGTGTTTTGCGATCGGGCCGTAGTTGGATTTTACTTATGTGTCAAATTTGTCCGAGTTTATTCCCTTGTTGCGCCGAATTTCTGTCCGTGTTTGTACCCTGTCGCGAGTCGTCAATATTCTGTCTGTTCTTGTGTTGGTTCGTTGTCTTGAATCTCCCCATAATTGTCTCCACAAATCTGTCCAAGTGCGTTTTCTAGTTCCGTCCATAGTGCCTTGAAATTCTGTCTTGTGTTCCATCGTTGGCTTGTCTATTGCTGTCCATAATTTCTGGTATCATTGTTTTGAGTTATCCAACTTGTTTACTTGGTTTTTCAAATCTGAATTGTGGTGAAACTTGTTGGTATTTGTGAATCTTGAGAGAACCTACAAGAATCTTGAGTTTCTTGACCACAATCTTGAAATTTTTGAAGTTCTTGATAACTTCCTTGAAAGTTCTTGAAGGATCTCGAAGTTCTTGAAGATTCCTTGTGCGTGTGAATTGGCTGAACCAAATCCGAAAAATAATCCAATCGGCCAAGCTTGTGTTGTGTTGGTCGTATAAGTCAAAAAAAAAAAAAAGAAACGAAAAACAAGAAAGAAAGTCTGAAGTTTATTGCCAAATCAATCACGGATTACATCTTGTATCCAAGACTACAAAAAGGAAAAAAAATTTTCAAAGTTTCGGTCCACTACTTCTTAAACCTCTTGATTCTTGGAAATTTGTTTCGTCCGTCTAGCGAACAATTTCTTGTACTCTCGAGCATTGGTGAAAGGCTTTCTTGGAGTCTTTGCTTCTATCTAGGGAATATCTTGGGTAACCCATTGGGGGGGAGCCTGAGGAGGGTTGATTGCGTCACGTTGTTGAGATTCCATCTAGTTGCTATTGTCTTGAACAAACATCCGAAACTGCGTTGGGTGTGTTTGAACAGAAAATCCGAGCTTGACCTTGTGCTTGCAAGTTAAGGCTAACGTGGGTGGGTCTTTAATAGCCTACCTTCCAACCGTACAAAAGGTTTCCAACCGAATTGTTCTTTCGGGAGTTGGAACCGAAATTGTTTTGTGCAATCCTTCTTGGAGTAGAAATTGGAAGTTCCTAAAAGTTGTTACAAGAAGAAAAGGTTTTCTAAAAGGTTTCCAACAACTAACTTGTTTCCAAATTCAATTAGGAAACTAAGTGGACATAACTCTCCTAATTCCACTTGGATAAGTCCACTCAAATTAGGAAACTAGGGTTTGCTTGTTTCCTTTTCCATTTTCGCACACTTTCCTAATCTGTCTGCCCTAGGAAACAGTCCAAACTACCCTCTATCGCGTCCACATTGTGATACGAGACGCGGAAGCTACTTCGGATCTAGAGGAACACGATGAAGATTTGACGGAGTTGAACCCGAACTTGGACCACTCAAGAACAGATTTAACGGTAGAGGACGCCACAATCAAGTATGTGTGCTTGATTGATAAGTCAAGAACAGCCTAGGATCAACTCTAGGATGTTCAACTTAGCTTTCACAAGCTAAGGGAATTTGCCACAAGGAATGGACGAAATTCTGGAAATTTTATTCAATACTCTCAAAAACTGAATGTAACATGCGGCTTGAGGCTATTAATAGCCGTGACTAAGACCTAATAAACTGAAAAAATAACAAGGAAAGTTCGGCCAGCCCCTTGGGCCTTCACTTGACCGAAAGCTAGCCCAACTATCTATAGATCATAAGCGAGACCCCCGTACGGCTCGGCGAGGGTACTTAACTGCGGCTCAGCCCACCGTTTGGAGCTTGGACACTTGCATCTTCAATTGTAAGCAGCATTTTAGTAGTCGTGCAAGGATATTCCAACTCAATCCCTTCAATGCTCGGTTTCTCTTGGTTTTGGATAGCACGTACCAAGGCTTGGAGGGACTCCTTGAATCTCTTAGCTCGTGCTCGTGTCACTGTGCCTTGGGGCACCTTCACAGGGTCTACTTGTACACTTTGGGCCTCGTGCTCCACCGCATCATTCCCCTCCTCTTGAAAAGGATTTGTCCTCAAATCTAGATGGGGATGTCGACAGTGCGTTTGGAGGTCAGCCACGTTGGGAACAAATGAAAGGTCACGAGCCAAGTTAAATGCCGTTTGGTCAGTTTCATGAGGCCCTCAAACAAGGACATGCGCCAAGATAGGAAAAAGCTTGTGTAAGGCTCACGAAACTTCCAGGTAGCAATCCAAAGCTCTCTAATCAACCTTCGGCCATGGATTGTCTTATTGTCACGTGACATAAGTGGCAGCAATGAAGTGAAATGCACTCCATACGAATCGCATGAATTTGCACAAGTTGGGGTTGGTGAAGTAAGCTCGTGGTGACTAGCTTTTGGACATGTGAAGAAGCACGAACGTGCACCACTTGCAGCAGGGATAAGCACGAAATCGGGTTGCAAGTCTTTAGCCGTAGTTGGAAAATTGTGGACAGCGTTACAACCTATGAAAACAAAATAACCTTCAACTTGGAGCAATTCAGAAATCGGGTAAAGGACTAATGGGACATTATTAGCTAGATGGTAAGAAGGTGTAGAACGAGATTTAAATGAGAAAACTCCCTTTGACACTTCGATATTCCTTCCACCAATTGATTCAACTTGAGATTCCAGTGCTAGTCCTTGACACATAGGTAAAGAACAAGAAGTAGATTCTGGAATTTCCCTTTTAAGATGAGCTCGAATGAACCCTCCAATGGTGCGGACAGATTTGAATGGACATTGTTCCATGAATTGATACCAAAGAGATTTAGTTCCTAGAAGACCAACTCCATGGAAACTCGCAAAGTGTCCAAGTGACTTCGGGATGGAACATGCCATGATCAACTCTACTTGACTTTGTGTAACTTGAACAAAAGAAGAGGTGCTAAACAAAACACATGTTAGCCGGTTAGCAAACAAAATGGTCACACTTTCAGCCTTTGTAAACACGGCCAACTCCTCCTTTTTACTCTTCACTAAGGCCAAATTATTCTTGTCTTTTTCCACTCCATTCTTCTCGGACCATTGCTCACACATTGTACATGAGGTTTGATTTTCATTGTCTAGCTCATGTTCATGGCTCAGTTGTAACTCATTCATATTTGGCTCTTCAATCAACGAGGGACTAGGATGAATTTTCCCTTTATTACCACCGGTTGGCACATGGTTAAGTTGCTCCAGGTGTGAATCCAGCACTTGGCTAAGTCTTTCCATCATATCATCAATCAATGCTTCAGTCCGACGTTCGAATTTATCCATTGATTCACGAAGCTTTGACTCAATTCGAAAATTCTCGAGCCCTTCGTCTTGATTGTCAAGACACTTCTTAGATGAACCTTGTTTGCTTGAAGTTGACCTTGATTTAGATGCTCTACGCAAACTGCTTTGCTCCTTCTCATACTCATCACAATCTTGTTTATACCTTTCATACACACACAAAGCACGGTGGCGTTGCATCTCCTCCCGGAGTGAATGATACCCACATTGTGAACTGGATTGCATGGGGCTAAAGTACTTGGAGGTACTTCGCTTGGGACCTCTCCTCTTGAAAGGTTCGGTCTCCATGAATTATTGATTGTATGAGCAAGATGCAACTCTAGTGGCCATGACTATGTGACCTGCAAAACGGTTAGTAGTGCAAAGGAATTTTCCTCCCACACATGGCTTCCAATTGTAGTTTGATGTCCATGGTTTGTTCACCAACTTCACTAGACATATTTAGTCCACCTGCAAAATAAATAAACAAAAACGAGTTCCTTGCTCTCTTTTTTTTTTTTTTTTTTAAATACGATGTATAGGTCACTCACACTCGTATTTCACTCAAGTGTATCACTCTCTAATAATCTTACCAAGCAATTCCTTGGCTTGCTAGTTGCTTGGTTGAACAAACTAGGTGTTACCGCAGTATACGTTCTTGACTAGTCAACAAGTGACACACAAGCTAGTAGAAATAAATGGAGGTGTATGACTGATGACCTAGACACGACTCAAGACTCAGAATATAGCTGGACAATAACTAACGACTCAAAAGAAAGTAAGACAATTAACTTGAATGCTGAAATTTTGAAAATCCTAGAAAACTCTACCCGAAACCCAATTTTCTGGAATTTGTTGAGCTGCTGGTCCGTGGTCTTTTTGGTATGGGTTTTGGAGTATTTTGGGTGGCCTTAGGCTACTCAAATAATGGGCAATCTACTATCTAAAACTCAGCCCAATCGGGTGTCACAATTGCTCCAACGGTTTTAGGAAAATTCAAGAATTCAAGATTCGGAAATTGGAAAGTTTGATCTGATTTGGACACTTGGGGTTGCCAAGGATTGGAAACCTTGGAGTTTGGTCAGATTTGGGAGTCCCAAGTGGTCCAAATTCGAAATTTTAGGGCTGGTCAGATTTGGAAGTCAGATTTTGCACCAAATTTGGTAACTTGTAGGCTGTCAAGAATTGGATGTTGTTCAGATTTGGAAGTCCAAGTTTGAATCAGATTTGGTGGCTTGAAGGCTGACCAAGACTAGGGCTGTTGGCTGTCAAGAATTGGATGTTGTTCAGATTTGGAAGTCCAAGTTTGAATCAGATTTGGTGGCTTGAAGGCTGACCAAGACTAGGGCTGTTCAGATTTGAAAGTCCAAGTTTGAATCAGATTTGGTAAAACTTGAAGGCTGGTCAAGAATTGGAAACTAGAGCCGTCTTTCTTGAAAAATTTTTTTTGACTAGTACTAGTACACAACAAATATCTGCATATGCTCTAAACAAGTTCCCCAAAACACTTTGATGGAAGCTCATGACAGTAGGGACTCAATGTGCAGGTGTCTATAAGCATGTACACACGTTACAAAGAAAATCTCCAGGTTCTTCTCTAAGAAAAGCCTAAAACCTTTATATCAAAAAGCTTGTTCACAAACTCATAGTAAAGAGTAATTTTTCCCAACGGTTTTTAACCATCCCAAAATTTCATACTCTTGCACTTTGATATTTGTAACGCATCCAAATCATATGGCCTCAGTAGTTTTCATCCATTAGGAAACAAAAAAAAAGTCAAGGAAAAATGTCTATAAAGACCAGTATTTCATGAAAAATGCATCCCCTTAAAAACACTGAAAGCATAATCCTTGTCATATACAAAACTCAATAACAACATTCTTTAAACTATTTTTCATTTAGTTTGTCTTGTCTTATCCAAATCTCTAGTATGCGACAATCATAAATTTATCGTCGTCATATTTAGACAGGAGAAATGCTTAGTAAACAAGCATAAGACTATTACTTGTGGAAAAAATCAGCTATTACTCGTGCAAGCAAGGAATGTAACAGATGTCACATCAAGCAAAGAGCATTCTTATTCCCAATGGAACATATTTGTTAAAAAAAAGGAGAGAATTCCAAGTTCCTCTATTTAAGTAAGCCCAAAGGCAAAAGTTCAACAGAATGAAGCACAATAAGTAATTTGCAGAAAAAGACTAGCCATTCAGTATATTGACATTTTTGTGCATAATCACTTGGCTATATGACCACTAAGACCTTTGGCATTCATAAACCTGTACTTCAGTTCTGCGTCGACTTTTCATAAAATACACCCTAGATACCCACAAAAAAAAAAAAGAACAGATCAAACTTAAGATAGTTCCACAATAACATTCTTAGAAGAAGTTGTTCTTATAAATTTATACCCTCCCATTCAATAACCTTGTCAAACCTACTATACTGGGACATATAAAATCACGTTCACCTTTCCTAAAACATCACTCTAATACCTTTCTTTTCCAATGTAAAAACGTACAGAAACATGGCATTTGCTTGATTTGTAACTGGAAAGTGCAGCTCAAAGTTTCCATCCAGAACAACACAAGCCAGTACGTGCATATTTCCAACAAGAATATTTGTATCAGTTAGACTATAGATTTTCACTTTTAAATTGTATATCTACAAAACTACTGAACCTGGCCAAGTCAAAAAACTGATAACTCTTTTAACATAATAATTAAAGACAATACCTTTTATAAGCTGCTCAACAGGTGCATTCCTGAGTAAGAAAGAGACGGACTCCGCCACAAATTTTTGTATGCTACCATGTGGATAGTATCTCAGTTTCACTGTTACTCTGTTATACACAGACAGATAGAGCAAGCGAGAGAGAGAGAGAGAGAGAAGAAACATTAGAATTTAAAGTATAGTTCGAGGAATTTTTCTACAAATCAAACCATTTACATGATAAATACAACAGGGAAGACACACTGAATGTGCACCAGTAAATCAACAAAGCCAGTCAAGCTTCTTGATTTCCATAGATTTACTTCCAACCCATGTTTGAGTTTACTGTATTCTCTCAGATATAAGTGGATTTCTACAGATTTGTGGCAGCAATAGGTAGTACAAGAACAATTAACCTCAGTTTTCTATACTTTGTTGAGAAATACTCAAGAAATCAAAAAGTTGTTTAAGAAGCAATTTAAAACCAAAATTTGGCATTCATATTCTCCTTACATCCAATAAAACACTTAACATACATGCACACACATATAAACATGGATAAAAGCAACTTCCATCATATGTACTTACTTTAGCACATGAATGACATCCTTTATCAGATATTTCTGCAGGAACATCATAATGTATGACCATGACGTAAAAATCTGAGGAAGCCAAATTCACAATTTCAGCATCTAGTATTCCGAATTAGATATTGCATCAGAATTCAAAACAAAATAACACAACAAGATACTTGGCTTGACCTGCTTAATTATGTCTGGATCCTTATCACCACCATTTTTCAGAAGAAATACTATAGCATTCACAATCCTCTGGAGAAAGCTGGGACACAGTCAAGGAAACACCCACAAAAAACAAGGACGCATTAGGAGTGACTTAGAAGACAATATTGCTGCGAAAGGGTAGGAATTAAGAATTACCACTGGTCCAGTCACTGAATATCATGCACTTCTAACAAAGACAAACATGCACAACAGGAGCCAGCATACAAGTTAAAATTGTTAAATTAATAAACGTTCAAGCATGAGTTGTCCATATTTCTACATGGCCCCAGGAACCCCAGTGCCAAAAAAAATGCCAGAAAGGAGCAAAAGAGAACTAATTGGGAAACTCTAACTGCTAACAAAAATTGCCTTAAATGTTAAGCGGAGGAAAACTTGGGTAACAGCAAATTCATTACAATTTTTAGCAATCTGCATGCAGAGCTCATGAACTCCATCACGCACATACTGCAACACAGGAGTGTAAGCCAAAAGATTTCTCAAGCACTTGAAAAAAATGAACATAAGACGGTAATGTGATGCAGAAGAAAAATTAGTTGGTATCTATGAGTTAAGGTTGATGAATCTGTATCTGCCATTACTGTAGCAATGTAGGTTTTCAGTTTTTTTCAGGGATTGATTCTCATTATGTTCTTCTCTTAGCTGACCTGGAACTGATTGAGGGACCCATTGGATTCAATTTTTGGGAGGAAAATTTTCTTTATCTAACCCTATACAGTTGGAAATCTATAAAGTACAATGCGTTTCACTAAGTCTTGTTTAATACAAAACGTGACTCTTATATATTTCCTTCTCATAGCACTAAAATATTATGCTAAATTCTGTTTTCCTTATTCTTTTCTCTTGCTTTGGGCTATGTCACGCGAGAAGTGACACTAGCCATAATTATTGATCTCTCATTCTCAGATTCTGAAAATCCCAAATACTGAAAGAAAGGCAACAGGAAAACCTCCACAAATATACATATGGATCTCACTACAAGCATAGTAAACTGTCAGGAAAGAGAAACTTAAAAAACATGAAAGCCTCAGATAACATAAATGGAACTTACGGCAAAAAATCCTCCAGAAGATCCCTTGATAATGTGGCTACCAACCTGCCAGAAAAAGAAAAGCCACATATGCACCCAGCAATGTTTAACAATAAACCGCAAGGGAATCAATACACACTTAATTAGGAGAATGACAATCTGTAACTAAACAATACTTTATGTCAACAACTTCCATGGCAAACCAACCATCCACCTTTACAGTTTACTGAGGTGAGAGTTGAACACGTTGCAATTAAATAAGAAATGAAACAAACTAGAAAACTAGAAAATCCATAAGTGCTTGCTTTTGCATCCGAGATATGATTCAGGATGTGATTAAACCCATTTCACTAACTCAGGCCTCTACAAATACATTAGTGTAGTTCTAAAAGGTATATATTCAGAATAAATCTTCACTTGAAAAATTTTAGTTCCAATATCGAGAACATATGCCTACAATGATCCAAGTTAAAACAACAGGAAACACTAATAATATTAAAGAACCAAAAAAGAAAAAGGCCTTGAGCATTGATTTGTTTTTCCTTTCCACCATTTTCCAATCTCGATGAGACAATTCTTCAAAAACATACATAAACACCAAATTTGCAAGAATACCTGAGTATTGGCTCCAGTGATAGCCTGCTTTTTATTTGTAATCTAGAAAGCAGTTTTGAAACGATCAATTCCCTTTGCAATATAATTTGTGGTAGGGTTTGTACCAAGGGGAACATTTCTTGATAAAATGAAATAAAATCCTCGGCAGTATTTAATTCCTGCATTTGTCAAAAAAAAAAAGACAACAATATCAGCAGAATTTAAATGTGAGATGGAAGTGTACAAATTTTTGCTATCTCAAAAAAGGTATAATCATATGAAGTTGGATAGAAAGGACAAAACAAACAGCAATCTAGAAATATACAAGACACATAATAAATTGCTGACAAGTACACCCAGACAGAAGCAGACAGACCAGCCATGCCATACATTAGATCCATAACCTTGTGGATAGTTTCCAGCACAGTAACATAGAGGCTGAAAACCAATATGGAACAATGCCAAGAATCTTCTTTAGACCTTCCTGCCTAGGCAAAAATACCAAAGGAAGAAAACAAGAACTTCCAGAAAATATTCAAAACAACCCTCGCTAAACATGATTCTGATCATGTCACCTTCATAAATTACTTATCCTAACACAAACTCCTTTGCCTTGAAAACATTCTTTGGTGCATTAGAAGTAATAGCACTTCCTACTTCAAAAGGATGCCATTGATTTACTCCTCCTACCTCAAGCAAGATATGGACCACACCTTCATTTATTTCACATTAACTTTGTAGATTAAAGACAGTGCCAAAACTACTAAAACTAATCTGCCTGTATATGCCAGTAGATTAGTCCACAAAGCCAGAAGGGTCATCCTCATCTAGTCACTGTTACATCAAAACCACCAAGATTCTACACAGCATCATCAACATCTCCAAAGCACATTGTCCAGCACCGCAAAACCCCCTGAAAAATCCCCCTTACCAATTGAAATTCCCAAACTAACACACTCAAAATAAAAATAATTTTCTAGCTTCTGAATAAAAAATGAACTTTTTGAAAGATATATGGCAGAAAAAAAGAAAGCCACAACTAGATTCCATGTATTGCTTATATTGCACAAATGGCTTTCTGAATCCTTTAAAAACATAAGCAGGCACCTATAACTGATGTTTAAAACCAAATAAGTCGGAACAAAGCAGATGAAAAAGCTTTTCTTGAAATGCTACCCACTTTTCATGTAAGCTTAGCAGTTTCTCCCGATGTGCAGACATCAAATTCCAAAACCCAATAAAATATGTCTCATATTACTTTAATGTTTCCTACTTGTCGTCTAAAAATGAAATCTTTATCCTAAAAGAAACAGCCAAAAAATGTACTGATATCCCCAATAAGAACCTCGAGAAATAGCTGCACAAGTTACACCAAAAAAAAACTACAATTCAAATCACAATTACTTCAGAAATAGAAGAATATTGAAACATACTCTCCATTCAACTAGGCAATCGCGAAAAAACGTGGACCCTTCAGAAGGCTCAGCTTTAACAGGGTCCAAACTTCGGTATACATTAATATCAATCTCTGCAATTTGTTGAACATTGGACTTGTACTGCACCACCCCAAAAAAAAAACTTCAGAATTAAAAAAAAAATAATTCCATAATACTCTCGTCAACCAAGAAGGAAAAAAAATGAACAACTTGAATAAAAAGAACTGCAATTTTTTATTTGCATACAAAAAATTAAGAAAGATAGATAGCTTACAACAAATTTCTTGCTTCCCTCGCCTGTGTTTAGAGACTTTACGGCTCGAGCGTCCGCGGGCGTCGCCATTGGTGCCTCACCCAAGCTCAATCTCTGAAAAGGGAGGGAGAAGGGGGGAGGGTTTAACTTTAAGAGGTTAGCTAACTACCGACTTCAGAAGTTGAGAGGAGGGTTTAAGGTTTTCAGTTTATTGTTGTTCCTTTTGACCTTTTTCTTTTTTTTTTGATTTTTTGTAGTTAACTTATTCATATCCTATCCTAATCCTATCCTAAATCCTAAACTACATAAAGCGCCGAAATCCTATCCTAAACTACATAAAGCGCCCAAAGTCGAGCTACAGTTAATTGTGCCGGTTTCGCTGTGATTTCGCAGCTGATTTCGTCCTTTTTGGTCTTTTCGCAGGCTCCATGCAGCGGCTTTGCTTCCTGTTCCGCTTGTCCTCATTTCTTTTTTGTTGCTTTGTTCCCATTGTACCCTTTCCCTTGGTTCGTTTGTAATTTGCAATCAATTTTGTCCTTTTGTTTCTTCGATCTTTTCCTCCCGTCGTTTTGCTATCTTCAAGCCGTGTATATTGACCAAAGTATTTTTTGTTTACAATTTTACCACTTTTTTATATTTATTCCCTTACTTATTAACTTTCTCTAAAACGTGTATATTAACAAACATATTAAATATCAAAAAATATGCAGGTTGCTATATACACAAACATATTAAATATCAAAAAAATATGCAAGTTGCTAAATATCCTATGTACATCTAATAAATACAAACGAATAAAAATTCTATATGTATCTAATCAATATATATCAATATATATAAATTGATTATTGTGTTTTGTATTAATGCAGATCAATGAAAATCATATATATTTAGCATGCATCTAATATATATAAATTAATAATACTACTTTGTATTAACATATATAAGTGTTATTTATGTGAAATAATTATAATTTCGACACTATTTCTATGTTTATAATTTTCCGTCCTTCTTTATATTTATCCGCTTATTTATTAACTCACTTGTTTATTAACTTTGTTAAAAGTGTGTGTATTGAAAAAAAATATTAAATATCAAAAAATTACGCATGTCACTAAAATCCTATGTATATCTAATACATACTAACGAATAAAACTCTATATGTTTCTAATCAATATACATAAATCAATTATGCTGTTTTGCATTAATGCAGATCAATAAAAATTATATGTGTTTAACCTATATCTAATATATATAAATTAATAATACTACCTTGTATTAACATATAATAAGTGTTATAATACTACCTTGTGTTAGCCCCTACTTAAACATTAATTACTAGAAGCAATAATTAAGACCAAAAGTTATCAAAATTTTCAACATACTTGATACGAATATAAAAATCATCCCAATAAGAAAACAAAGCAGATACAATTCATACTACATACAAATGCGAATAATACATAACAGTCGTTAACAACTTCAGAGCCGAGAAAAAAGCTTACTTGATTAGAGGCACAAGAGAGTCGGAACAAAAACTTTGGGGAATTTCGGAAGAAGCAGAGACAGAAAGCGAATGAACCTTTTTCTGGGAAGATTTTCGATAAAGCTCTCAGCCCTAGGGTCTGTTTGATAACATAAAAAAGTGCTGAATCTGAATTGTTTCAGACATTCAGATTTTGAGTGTTTGATAAATGAAAATCAATTTGCTGAACTTGTTAAGCAGTGTTGAACTTGTGTGTATTTTTTTCAGCACAAGAATCCTAACTGAATGCTTAATTTTGATAAGAATCAATAGAATTACTTCAACTACCTTATCTTATGTACCAAATCCACCCTTGTTTGTTAATTATGTTCAAAATTCTTATTTAATTAAATAACCTAATATTCTCTATCTAACGATTTTTAGTTTCTCTTTCTATCTTTTTAATGACTTTCACATCTTCTCCATACTCCTCATATAATATATTTCATCTTTATATTAATTTGATTTAAAAATAAATATTATCATTTTCATACCTAACAAATTTAAACTAATTAAATCATAGATTTTTTTTTTTTTTTGAATGAAAGATATAAGGGCAAAATTGTCAAATTAAACTTATTAAGCATTCAACTATAAATATTTATCAAACAATATAAATAGGTTTAGCATTAAAATTCAGACATTCATATATTTTTTTCAGTGCTTAAAATTCAGCAAATTAATTATTTCAGTATTCAGATTTCAGAATTCAGACTTCAGAATCCAGATCCAGTTTTATCAAACGGAACCTAACCTAGTCTTTTTCCAGTGATAGTGGTAGAGTGAAAGAACGAAACCCTTTCTTAGTATTAGTTTCTGATTTTTTGAAGGGTTAATTACAATTTGCCTCCTCAACATTAAGGAAAGTCACACTTTTCCCCTGTGGAGTTTGGAGCATGGGAGAGAAACATATTTTGTTGTTTCAATTGACTTTTGAGCACGGAAAGAAAAGAATAAGGAGGAAAAGAGAGGGGAAGGCTCTAACTATTTTATTTTGTTAAATTATATTTTCGGCCCAAAGTGGGCGGAAACGGGGAAATTAATTGAAATGAATTTAAATATTTTCAAAAGATCATTTGTTTTTCTCTATCTTTTTCACTAAGTTGACACTTATTTTTTTCTTTTCTTTTTTTTTTCCTTCTTCAATCCAAATAAAAATTCAGTATTTTTTTTCTTTTCCTTCCATATTTAATCCAAATAAGATGGAAGCAAACCATTTTCCTCTGCTTTCCTTTCCTTTCTTTTCCATTGATATTCTCTCCTTTCCTTTCCCTTCCCTTCCTTCAATCCAAACGAAGCCCGGACAAGAAATCAAAAGCTTGGAATATCAGTAGATACTCTCGTCTATGTGTAATGCTTTAACATGGCATAGATTAGTGTCATATAACAGATTTTGTGCAATTTTTATGCGTTCCAAGAATTTTTTGGACTAGTACTACTCTAACCATTGTAATTTCGAGACTATTTCTATATTTATAATTTTCTCTCCTTCTTTATATTTATCTGCTTCTTTATTAACTCGCTTATTTATTAATTTTGTCGAAAGTGTGTATATTGATCAAAATATTAACTATTAAAAAAATACGCAAATCACTAAAAATGCTAATGCATATCTAATACATAAAATAGCCTTCTTTTTATATTTATTCGCTTATTTATTAATTTTCTCCAAAATATATATTAGCAAAAATATTAAATATGAAAAATATGCAAATTCCTAAAAATCCTACGTACATCTAATATATGCAGATGAATAAAAATTCTATGTGTATCTAATCAATATATATAAATCAATTATGATGTTTCGTATTAATACGAATCAATGAAAATTATATGTACTTAACATGTATCTAATATATATAAATTTAATTAATTTTCTCAAAAATGTATATATTAGCAAAAATATTAAATATGAAAAAAATATGCAAATCGCTAAAAAACCTACGTGCATCTAATATATGCAAATGAATACAAATTCTATGTGTATCCAGTCAATATATATAAATTGATTATGCTATTTCGTATTAATACAAATGAATGAAAATCATATGTACTTGACATGTATCTAATATATATAAACTTAAAAATAAATCAATCCAATATTTATTGATTCAAAAAAATTATTCGATCAATAAATACAAATATATGATTCTAAATTTATAATTTCAAATTGTTAAAAATCCTTAATTTGTATATATTATATTTATGAATTTATATTCTTCACTATATTTCTTTTCTTTTAGTTTTTCTAATACTAAACTCTTCCACTATCTAACACACAATCTTGAATCTTTGGTGAGTTTCATATAAATTACATTCCAATCAATATAATTCATACACTACATTGCTACTCTCATTTCATAATACAACTACGTTTTTTCCCTATTTTCTATCTCATGTATTCATTGGTGATATACCCTCGCATATACAAACAGTCAACATAGGAGTCATCAATTGCTATCATACTAAAACTCGATGGATCTTTCAGTTAGAAGGAATAGAAATAACAGAAAGTTGGCCAATATTGGCACAAAAACACTTCTTACATGAAGGAAGTGTCATCCTGTTCACCTTGCTCAATGAAAATAATTATCATCGGCAACTCTTCAGTAGAGACTTTATCCAACAATCATAATTAAACGTGTCCACTACAGCTTCTTGCACATAGCAATTATCTGTTCCCTAAATTTTCTTTATTCTGCTTCCACTTATATTTAACAATATAAAAATAAACATATCGAAATTATTTCGAATTATTAATTTATCTCAACTCTTAAAAAATGATTTACATTCCATTAATTTAAATAATATTTACATCCTGTTACTCTTAAAAATTAAATACAAATCACAACAATATTACTATATCTATTTATAAATATATTAATCCAATATATTATTCCTCTATTTATTATTCCAACCCCACTATCATATAAAACACTCTAAACATTAATTATTATATAAATCTTACATTACTCTTAAACAATTAATAATGGGCACCCCGCGAAACTCGCGGGGCACAATGCCTAGTAATTTTCCATCCGACATGGAAAATTAGGTTTTATTGAGGTTTTACCGACTTTAGGCAAATTAATAGAAATGGACCCTTCAAATCCGTACAAGTCCAGTCCTCTTTTGATCTTTGTTAAAATTTTGAAATTTACAAACAGCTAGGCAAGGAAGGAATTACGTTTAACTTCGAAAATAATTGTAAAAAAAGATAATAACTATACTTTTTTGAGGATTTTGTTCTATGTAAATAGATTAATCATTTTTTCAAATGAAAGGAATCCAGCATCTTCTACTTATAAATCTTCTTATTTAGTAGCAAAAAAAGCTAATCTAATAATATGCAAAAAAAGACTAATCTAATTAAATACAAGCAGTATCAAGTATAAAAAGCAATTCAAGATCCAAAACTTTATAAGTAAATAACTTGAACTATAATTGGATATAAGATTTATTGAAAGAATATGTCTGGATATAATTGGATATTTCAAAACTTACTACTCTTACATACTTGATATTTGAAAAATATAAGATTATTTGAAACATATTATTTGAAATAATACCATATA